AATATTATAAATTTTAATTAAAAAATTAATTATTTAAATAACACATTAAATTATATAAAAAATTAAAATAAAAAATTATATCTAAATCATTTACTAATTAATAATGTTTGTAAAATTGTCAGTTACAACTCAGCCACCAAGCCAGCACATGCGGGACAGACCTGATTTCATCAGGAGGTTTTTTCTCTATTTTTCTTTTTATCCTCAGCTATACTATAAAATAAAATTTTCTTTATTTACTAATTTTAGTCCTTTTACATAAATTTTATATAATTTAAATTTTAAATTTTTTTTAAATAAAATTTTTATTAAATTATTTTACCATTGTCTATTTTTTACAAATGAATTTGTAAATCTCTTATTCATTAACTACCACTTTTATTTTTCCTAGTATGTTAGGCATTGGATTCTTAAATTTGTGATTAAAACATATGTTATCTTAGCACTAAGGCTTTTTTTTTTCAACGTTTTTAAATATTTTAGTTTTTAATTTTTATATCTTTTTATTTTTTAAAAAATATTTAAATTATTAATCTAAACAAATATTAAATATATTTTATATGTTTTAAAAATATTAAAAAACTAAAAAAATTAACCATTAAAGCTACATACTAACACTCTCAAATTAAGCCGAATTCATGTTGTCAAAACTAATAATATTATTAGATTTCCTATGAAACAACATGCACTCTAAGACTCCTTTTTTTTTTTTTTTTTATTGTAGTTAATAATTTTAAAGACGTATTTTTTAATTTTAATATTTAAAAAAAGTAATTTTTTTAAAATATTAATTTCAAATTTTAAACTATATATCTTACTTATAAAAAATATTTATTTGGTAGTAGGTTCAATATCATTACCGTAAGACTTATTTTAACCGAAGATATTAGCACTAAGCATTCAGTAGTTGGAACTTGGAAAGTTGGAATGATGACCATAGGCAAGTTTATGGTGACCATAAAAAATATTATGGTTATTAAAATTGTAAAATATTATTTTTAAATATTAATAGTAGTTTATGATAAGATATTTAATTTAATTAATAAAATAATTAATAAATTATTAATATTTATTAATTAATAAATTATTATGTTTAGAAAATATTGAAAATTTGAAATTAAAAATTTAGTTGTGTTAATAATTTTTTTCGGTGGTAACAATGGCCGTAACAACAAACCATAATAAATTCCATAAAAATTAAATAAAATTATTAAAATTAGGGCCAATCGAACGCAAAAATCTCTGCTTAAACGTCACTATAATAGAAGGAGGTCCCTTCCACTCCAACTCTACCAAAAACATTTTCATTCCCAAAATTAACGTTTCTCTCTTCTGCTAGTTGAGAGGATACCACGCGTTTACCAGATATCTAGAGGAGCATATTTGTGAGAAAATGGCTACCAAAGTGTATATTGTGTAAGTATCTCATCTGGGCTTTTCTTGTCCAAGTCCTGGTTCTTGCTCCTTATTCCTGCATTCTTTGTTGTGGATTGAATTATGATATTTGATTGTGTTGTGATTTTATTCGAATCCAATATTATCTGGGGTTTGGTTTGGGTTTGTGATCGTGTAAAAAATTTGCTCCTTGATGGGCAATTGCCAATTTTATAGTTGAATGTTGGTGATTCTCTCTGTTTTCTTTAACTCTGTTTTTTTTCCTCCCTTTTATCCATTCTAATGAATTATTGGCTCTTTCTTTATGGATTTCATATTTCAGAAATATTGTTTGATTGATTTAGCAGTGAATAGATGATCCAAAAGATTTATTCTTTTTTGGATAATGGGTGAACATGCATTTGCTTTGTTAATGAGGAAATTTGTGTTACAGTTGCAAATTCTTTTCCCCAGTTTTTGCCTTTTGGTTTCATTAAAGCGGCATCATAGTGAGGAGATGAGAGAAAAAGAAACCAACTTGGATTTTCCTATGCAAAATATGCTTTGGGTTCAGTTCTTTCTTCTCCATTTGATTTTCATTTGTAATCTAGTTTTAATGAGGAGAACTGCATGATGAATATCTGAGGTCAAATACAGCAAAAACCATATTGATTTTTACATTTAGGCTTATTTTACGGATGCTACCCAATCCGAGAGTCAAATTCATGTTGCTCATTGTTTGTTCTCTAAATGATACATATCTCATATATGCATAGGTTCAATCCTCAATCGTGAATTTTCAATTAGGAAAAACTTTAAAGTTAAGGAGCACTATGTTCATAAAGGTTTAACAAGCAAGAAATTAATAAATGTGATTGTGAAGTGCGACCTACCTTTCAGAATAATAATTAAGAGAGAAAATTGGTAGCTCTTTTTTGTTGGAGCATGTGGCCCTATCATTCATCATTTCATTCCAGTTCTTTATACGCAATGTGCGTAAATTACTAGTGGCTTTCATTATCAATGCTTGAAATACTTAAAGATAAGCTTCTAATAGTTCTCTAAACATTGCCTTTTCAATATAAGAAGAACAGTTTCTGTAAGGTGTACTGGTACTTCAATGTCAATTTGCAAGATATATGCGGTTGTCAATTGTGACGGTTTAGTGCCATAAGCCATCTAAATTGATACATTCATGCTGGTAAATCAATCTTTTGTTGTACTACCCTTACGTAAATGGTCTTTTTGTGTTGTTGTACTGTTAGGTGCCACATAAGGGTTTTTACTTCATGCATTAAATTTTGTATGGTACTCTTCAACTGGTGGTTTAAACTTTAGATCTTTTGATTCCTTTTGAAGTTACTATTCAATGTATGGACATGTTGAGAAGCTGGCCCAAGAGATACAAAAAGGAGCCTCATCTGTGGAAGGAGTAGAAGCAAAGCTTTGGCAGGTGTGTGATTCTTTTCTTAATATTATCCTTTTCTCTTTTTTTTTTTTGGCTTTTACATTGACAATTAAACTGTGATTCTATTCCTTGGTTTAACTCTGCCAGAGAGACAGCCATTCTGTTGTGCTCTTGTAATTGACCTATTACTTGTGCATTCCATGTTTAAGCAACACATTTATCCACTCAGCCGGTGTAACTCTTCAACCTCTTTTTATTTGGACCCCATCTTTGCAATGTATTTGTTTCTTTCCTTAAAAATTTGGATTGGTTTTACTAATAATTCCATTATCTTTACTTTCTTTCTTGCTTTCTCCTTTTGATTTCTCTGTAAGCTTAGCTAAATGATTACGTACAACTGCACTTGGACAGGTATCAGAAACCCTACCAGAAGAGGTTCTTGGAAAGATGGGCGCACCACCAAAGAGTGATGTGCCTATCATAACACCAAATGAGCTTGCCGAGGCTGATGGTGTTCTTTTTGGTTTCCCCACTCGATTTGGGATGATGGCTGCACAGTTCAAAGCATTCATGGATGCAACTGGTGGTCTGTGGAGATCACAACAGCTAGCAGGCAAACCTGCTGGAATTTTCTACAGCACTGGATCCCAAGGAGGTGGACAAGAGACTACCCCGTAATTATTCTCTAAGTCCTTGATTACACCATATAAGAAATTAAAGATGCTGCCCTTACAAACATAATACAAAACTGAAATCTTATTCCAATTTTTTAAAATTCTGCTTTTCTTGATTGGAAAATTGTGCAGCTTAACTGCAATTACACAGCTTGTTCACCATGGAATGTTGTTTGTGCCAATTGGGTACACATTTGGAGCTGGCATGTTTGAGATGGAGAAGGTGAAGGGTGGAAGTCCCTATGGTGCAGGAACCTTTGCTGGGGATGGCTCAAGACAGCCTTCCAATCTAGAGCTAGAGCAAGCACTCCACCAAGGGAAGTACTTTGCTGGCATTGCAAAGAAGCTCAAGGGATCTGCCTGATTTTCTCTCCTATCCCAGTATTATTCAGCTCTCTAAGATATTTTGCTTGCCCTGGAACTACAGATTCTACATAATAATAATGTGCTTTGTGGAATGTTGTTTCTTCAACACACTGGCTTATGTTTTATGATTGAAATGTTTCTATTATTTCTTCTAAGTGAGAATTTTTCCACACGAATATTCTGCCTGTACATGACTAAAGATAGCTCCCAAAAATGCACCTTGGGGCCAGAGGTCCTACATTGGCTCCTAGCAAAATCATACATATATTTTCTTGCAATGGAAGCCACTAAATTGGAACTTGCAGTCACCGACAATTTCGGTTACATCAAACATGGACCAGATTACTCTATCCTTCTGGACGCCAGATAATTCTCAATTTCTTACTAATTTGCCCAATTATTGCACTATCTAAATGCTGTAGATGGCAGAATTTCAAACTAAGCAATCATTTTGGGTTCATGTTCAGATTGACAGAAAAAGAAAAGTATTAGAGAAATGTTAACTCTGCACTGTGTCGTCTCATGTGTACTATAGCACTAATTATTCAGTCTAACGGTTCTATATTTCGCTTTTATTACAAGAGATCCAGGATATGTTTATCACATCCCTATTCCCTTCTTATTTTTGTGCATTAGCTATTCAACAGGAGATAAGCGACCACATCCCAACCCTCTTCCCCCAATCCAAACACCAATTTGAAATTGGGTTGGAAGTTTAGCCCAATTAAGCCCAATTTCTCACCCAAAAAGTAGCCTAGATTGCAGAGTTAGGCCCAAGTTAAAACTATGACACAAAATCTAGAATTGGGTTGGATCTTGGATGTAGCTTAAGCCCAATTTAAGGGTTTGAAACAATATCATGCTTGCTTACTGTTTTCTCATGCATGGCATATGCATGTACAAATAGGTATCCACATGCGCCAACAATAGCAAATCTCAAATCTTATAAAATCTTTTAAGATTTGGACCTAAGTAGGGCCTAAAATTAGTAGGCGCTAAACAGTTCTTAGTGAATATTAGGAGTGCTACATTTAAAATTAATAAAATCATTTCGATTTCTACTTTATTATTTCTTTGTTTTTTTCCTTCCCAATATTCCCTTTTGTTCAAAGAAAAAAGGAAGGAAATTCTTTTAAGATGGAAAGGAACATTTTCAATAAGGTCAAACAAACTTGACAATACAAGTGAAAAAAAAAAGGTGGGGTTGGAAAACTTAAAGGCTATATGGTTGGTTGTTTAATGGCCTACAAAGATCAGATTCAAAGCAAGCTAAAAAGAAAAAACCCTTTTAAGATAAAAAAACTTGGGGGAGAAGATATGTATTTGAGTTTGTCATTGATTAGCCAAAACAAGAAAAAGCTAAGTTAACAGGCAATGATGCCCAGATGCTTTTTCCTTTTTGGTATTCCTTTGTATGTCTCTTCTTCTTTTAATTAACAAACATCAACATGGGAAGAAATATAGGAATTGCATTCGATGGAGGGTACTCAAGAGAGGTAGTACTGATCCGGATGCTTCAAGCTGTGGCATGATACCCCATCAGTTCCATCAACTTTCAAAGTCACAAGGCATGATTATGCGGCTGGGTGCTACAAGATACCAATCATCAACCAAATTTTAAACAATTTTGGAAGTTCTTTTTTTTTTTTTTTAATTAGGTTTACATGTGAGTATGTGGTTCGGCCGAGTTTAGTCGAATCATTTATCACAACTATGGGATGATCAGATTCTTCAACACTTTGCTTCTTTTGAATTGTGCAAACTTGACCCATCCAAGTTGCTTCCCTTGATATTTTCTTTCTTTTTGTGATACTGATATGTATTTTGATTAATTAGATCATGGTATAGGACAATTTTAATTTCTTTTCAATATGGGGAAAATTTTATCCTAGATAATCAAACAAAAAAACACGTGTTATTCATAGTCATGAAACCTAGACAATCTATACCGTTCTTATGCTAGGAAATCTTTTCAAAAGATGTCAATTCTTCCTGAAAGAACCATAAAATTAAATATTATAACCCAAACCCTAAAAGCTGGAACAGTAGTGGACCGCTCTAAAATTCCACCATATGTAGGGCACATTCCAACTATATAATAAACAAAAGAAAAAGTTAAATACCCAGACAAACGAGCTCCACTCATTCCTAGCACTCAAACCAAGCAATTCAAAGTACAATAACAATCTCTTCCTCTTTCTTTTTTTCCTTTTTTGAACCATAGTACATCAACAAGAACAAACCATATTTCTGATAAATTCAGCTTCTAAACAACATCAGCAAGAGGGAAAAACCACTTAATTCTTGATTTATAAACTAAAACTATTAATAATTGTAAAACTTATGTTTTTCTTTTTCAATCTAGACTGGCAAATAAAATACCAGTCCGATCAAACCACAGCCAACTATCAGAGGGACAAGGGAAGGAAGAATCACATGTTAGGAATGTGGTTTGATCGAACTGGCTTTTTTTTCTTAGTCCGGACTGAAAAAAACTATACTCCTTTTTCTTCCAGGATTCTTATCGTTTTGCTAGCCTACATCATTCATCTGCTTGCAGCAGCTGGCCCAGCACTAACTGTCCATCCTTTGTAGGGTCCCCTCCCTTTTCATTCTTCTCTCCTTTTCTTTGTTTTCTTTATTCAGCTTTTCATGGAGAAAGGCTCAGCACAGCAATGCAGCTTCTAAGTTTGCATTATATCCTTTTTGAACTCTAAATTAAAGTTAACTTCTCCCCACTCGGCCTTGGCAGGTTTGACATTATTAATAATGTACTACTACAGTGCTTCAGAATTCCTCTTTTTGTTCCATTCTTTGTTTCTCATCTACCTGAAAGTCCCCCGAAAGTTAGCGTCCAAAAATCAGCTGTGGTCTCATTAGCAACTGGGAATGTGCTTGATATGGGCACCAAACATAGTCCTCGACTTCTCAAATCTTGTTCTAGATCCTTCAATTTCTCAGTACTCTGCAAAATATATGATTGAAAGTGATATAATTAAAAAGTTTAATGCATTATTCCATTGGAAGTGATATGATGTTGGAGACTTTTTCTTTTGTAATACCTGTTGATGTTGAATAGGAGATGCTTGCTTCATGTATGGAGTGCTTAAAGCCTGAAATAGCATAAAAATGGTTCGTAAAAATTAATTTGCACTTTCGGAGGAGGAAAAAGAGAAAAAAAAAAAAAAAAAAGGAAGAAGAAGAAGAAGATAATGAAACTTACATTGACTTGATCATGGAGGAACTTGATGTATTCAATGGCTTCGTGCAGAACAGATGCAGTATCGGTCTGAAAATGGGAAAGGGAAGGTATAAAAATCAATCGCAAGGACTAATATAAGCTAAGGCTTTTGTAGTGAAGAAACAGCAGAAACAAAAATCCAAAAATTCACCTTCCCAAAAGGCGAAACCAATTGCTGGAGGGCAGTGATTCGGTCCCCTAGCTTCTCTTTGCGAACCTGTTTTTTTTTTTTTTAAAAAAAAAATTATCACTCTCATTTAATTGAGAAAATGCTCTTTTCCTCACCATTACCATCATAAACACTACATATACATACATACCTTAAAAGTTGTTAAAGGTGGTGGCGGTTCAATTCTAGGCCTTTTAATTACAGGTTCAGTTCTTCCTTTCTTCATCATCCCCAATTCTCGAACTTCTTCAGTCTAAAAAAAATACCAAAATAGGAAAATAGTTGATAAAATTTCTGAACAAACCCTAACCATTAAATGATCCAAAAGCATGCAGAATGTTAGATTTGGAGTTTCCAAATCTCTGCCATAGTTAAGCACTAACTTATTTGAAGATAATGAAAACTATACAATATATTTACCTTGGTCGTGAGGGTGGAGCAACTGAGTTTCTCCTCAAATGTTGGTACGAGAAACTGTGGTTGTGATGAAGGCAAAAAGTTGGTTCTACCGTTGTTTAGGGCGGCGGTACCTGTGTTCCAAAAGGTTGTATTGTTGGAGAATTGAAGGCCGCCAGCGGCTGCAGCCAGTTGCTGCTTTGGCAAAGATGTTCTAAACAAGGAAGGCTGAAGTTTAGGCCAAGAAGGCGATAACTGATCATTAGACATGTAGTTCATTGACTGGTTGTTGAAAAGCTGCTGCTGTGGTTGAGGATGATCGGGTTCAAACAAACTCTGCAGCAGTACAGAAGAAGCCGAATCTACCGGAAATCCGGTGGTTCTGCTGCCGGAGCTGGTTATGGAATTCATCCTCGGTTGATCTAGAAGAAAATCGGTTGTGGAGGAATAATTATCTCCGGGACTCCAGTCCTTGTTGATTTGTGAAGAGTCCATGACTGTTTCTTGGTGGCAATTCAACCTCGGATTCATTTCTTCATGAATCGTTGAATTGTAATATTTCTCAGCTCTTCCATTAGCACGGCTGCAAAAAAAAAAAAAAAAAGAATCTAATAATTAAATATTCAATTGATTGATCATATAATTAATTGCTTTTCCTTTCCAAATGAATATATT